AAAGTCAGGAGTTCGAGACCAGCCTGGCCAATATGGTGAAACCCTGTCTCTACTAAAAATATAAAAATTAGCCAGGCGTGGTGGCAGGCACCTGTAGTCCCAGTTACTCAGGAGGCTGAGGCAGGAGAATCTCTTGAACCCAGGAGGTGGAGGTTGCAGTGAGTCAAAACCATGCCACTGCACTCCAGCCTGGGCAACAGAGTGAGACTCCGTCTTGAGAAAAACAAAACAAACAAACAAAAACACTGACCACACCCCTTCCTGTCCAGAAGCTGTGATACCGCAAAAACCCATCCACCTTTTTCAGGAAGGTGCCTGAGATACTCCGGATCCTCTGGCTTGGCCTGGACACAATCAGGCAGTCCATGGAGCCCCAGAGGCTCTCCCTGCTCCCCCGAGCCTGGGCCAGAGAAGTCCTGGGGCCTGACATGCAGCCCCTCTAGCCAGCAAGGCCAGGCCCCCTACCTGGGCAGGAGGGAGATATGACAGCCAATCTCCTTCCCAGATGTCTATCCCCTTGGGGGTCTCAGCAGGGGTGTGGCTGCTCTCCAGTGGAGGGAGAGGCCCAGGACAACCTGACCCAGGTCACCTCTCCTCCTCTTCCCATATCCAAAGAAGGTGTGCAAGGGCCCAAAGGGTACAGGCAAGACCAAGGCCAACAGGGCTCATGGAACAAGAATGGAGACAGGACCACAATGAGGGCACAGGGAGAGTCGGCAGAGTTGCACACTGGCCTCTGAAGACCCAGCCCCCGGGCTCCAAGGTGACCAGATCTCAGATAGCATTTCTGTTCCATGGTGTAGCGCAGGCTGCTTGAGGAAAACACCTGCAGCACAGCTGGGGAGGAGAAGCGGGGGAGGGGGACGGGAGCGGGGGCAGTGCGGGGCACAGCCAGTGACCTTGAAGGACTCAGTGCACAGGGTGTCAAGACCAAGGTGCTCCCAAACACACGCCTGCTGCCCACAGAAGGCCTCAGAACGCTCGCTCCTGCCCCACATCCACGCTGCTCAAGTCCAAATCAAGTCCTTCCTGTGGCACAAGAGCCTGCTGCCTCCTCCACCTCCACCTGAGTCCCAGGTGCCGCAGGGCAGACGGGACCCAGGGACAGAGACCAGAGCAGACACCCCTCCTGGTACCGATGGCTTTCACCCAACTGGATCAGAAACATGCTTGGCAACCAGAGATTAAATTATTCACATTGCAGTAAACTTTTTAAGGTCTCTGAGAGTTACAATAGGAACATCATGTGCAAAACTGACAGCTGTCCAAGGGCCCAGCCGACAGGACTGGCTCTCCCTGCCAGCTCGACCAGGCCCTCCCCGAGCGGGGACACGCTGCAGGGCTTGGCTGAGCCCTGGTGGACAAGGCAAAGAGCCTTCCACCCCGCACTGGGGCTCGTGTCCCTCGGCAGCTCCCTGCTCCTTCACAGTAGAGGACCTGGGCCACCCAGGGCCACCTGCGCCTGGAGCCTCTCCCTGGCCCCAACCAAGGGCTGACACGCAGGTCTGGGTAGCTCCTTCTGGGAAGGCCTACGATGACTGTGCAGAAGGTGTGGGTGCCCCCCGATCCACTGCCCATCATGCTGAGTCCTGGTCCATGCTGCAGCCCAGCGCCTCAATGTCGCTGCTGATGTCTGAGATCATGCGGTCCCACTCATCCCCCTCTGAGGGCGCTGACCGGTCATCAGAGCTGCCCGTGGCCCTGTTCCCGTTGGTGGTGGAACTGGATGTGGTGCTCAGGGCCCGCCGGTGCCTGCCAAAGCTGTCGGTGATGATGCCGCGGCCATCCTTCACGCCAATGGTCTCCAGGAAGTTCTCGAAGTGCTGACTGTCCTTCTCAGGGATGAAGGGCCTCAGACCTGCAGACACACAACACCCAGCATGGCACCTCCAGTTCGGCTCAACCCACTCATCTCTTCTCTCAGGGCTCAAAGCCCCCTGACAGGGCCACAGCTGCCCCTGGTGCATAGCCTTGGGGACCCTGATGCCATGCTCACTGCATCTAGCATCCTGGTTGAAATCATGCTTCCTGGGGCCAGACAGTTGGGCTAAAACCTCAACTCTGACAGGCACTGCTGCTGGCCCTGACAGCTTACTGCCTCTGCCACAGGCACACTCCATGGCCCACAGGCACCAGCACAGGCCAAGAACCTGTGGTCTCCTCTCATTCTCTAACAGTCCTCACAAAGTCCTCATTTTACAGTGGGGAAAGCTGAGGCCCAGAGCAGTCCTCAAAGCCGCCTGCTGGCACCCAGCAACAAGGGTGCAGTTCTCGGAGGCAGGCCTCATGCCAAAGTCCACTGTTTCCCTGCCATGGCCTGGGTGGCTGCCCCAACTCAGAGGGCTGCCCTCTTATGCGGGAAGCCTAGTGTGTCTCTCAGAATCTCCACTCCCTGCTGTGGAGGGACAGACAGAGTCCCACGCCAGGAGGCGACACAGGACGCAGCACAGAAGGGGTGGGCACTGCTTAGACAGAACCTGTTGTACAGACAGGCTGCCCCAGCCTCCAGCCCTTCACGCTTCTAAGAGCAGGGAGCCCTGGGTAGGCAGTCCATGCTTGCCACTGCCAGATCGGTACAATGGTAACAAATCCACCTTCCTTGGTTTGCGGGAAAAACAGGCCCAGGACCCAGAAGCCTTCAAATGGCTACCAGCAACAAACTACTGCCAACTTGCTGTGTTCTAATTGTCGGCAGAGGGAACCCACAGCTAAGTCACTGTCCCTGAGAGGTGTGGGGCCAACATCCAACTCTGCTGCTCAGACCACACAGCCCTCTAGCTGCACTGACCTAATGTGCTGAGCTTTTTGGGGGGGTCTTGGCAAACGCTGGTCCTTCCGCCTTGAAGTCCCACACATTCACCAAAACCCATGCCTCCCTGGCTCCTCCAGCACTCTTCTCCTAAATCTCAGGGTTGTGTTCACTCCCAGCCCTGCTCCTGGGAGATCTCTGCTGCTTCCTGGCAGGACCCACCCAGCTCAGCCTGAGTTCCCAGAAGAA